TTTCAGATTCCCGATGAAATGTCGCACTCAGCACCACACTCTCATCCGCTTGAATATGAAATCGCCGATATACCATTGCCGTTACAGCAGTACACGGAAACCCCGCTCACCAACGGTGCTGATCACCTGACGCGCGAAGTGCAGCGCACAATATCGCTGACTTCGGAAAATCCCTCGGAGATGTTTTTCTCAGCCGAGGAGGATATATCGAATATGATGTCACAAGGCGGGTCCATAAAAAATCGCAACGGTTCGATAGTCTTTTCCGGCAAGAAACGGTTTTCGTCTGATTTAAGGTGTTTATTTTTTTTCGAGCTTAAATGTGCAATTATTTACATATACTTTTTAGCATTGGTGCGCAAAATGATAATGCAGGCCTCACGCTCTCCACCTACCGCAGCGATTTGGAAATACATGCACCGGAATGCAAAACACTACCGAAGCGCCCACAAAGCACCACAGAATTGGTATGTCTAAGTTTAAGTGCGCTCTCCGTTTATACAAAACAAAGAAAAATTCGTGTTCCAATTTGCCTACACCACTTTTTTACATGATTTAGTATTGCAGCTTCCAAGCAATTTTCTCATTATTTTCGTATTAAACTGATATAACTTTTAAAGCAAATGCAAAAAAATAAAAGAAAAAAATCCAAATTTTATTCAAACGATTTTACATAAATTTCCGTAAACGTTATACTTCACTCAAAGTAAACTCAACTTAATTACCTCATATATATTGTGCTAAATAGTTGAAACGACAACTCATAATAACTTTGTTAACAATATAATCACAGAGTCGAGTATGTAATATGCATGTTTTTGTGTATAATTAAGTCGTAACTAAGAAACCTTAAAAAAAAATACCCTTAAATTATGTCTATATACCTTTATATGCAAAATATTCCACATGCGATTCTTTTCAAAATTCATCAATTTCATAGAACGAAGACGTGAGACGTATTCATGGTCTTGCCACACCAATCAGAAAACTATCAAATATTTCATCAAGACCTGAGTATCGACATTTTATTCATGATGTGAGTAGACTTAGCACCAAATTACATCTACTATCCTAACTACTAATACAAAAGTCTCTATTTCCAACTTGGAATTGTAAAAAAGAAATTAATTGTTATGAATACGTTGAACAACGTCTTTTAGAATTTAGTTGTAGTTTTTTTTCTATTTAGATCCTTTTTGTATAGATTGTATTTATTTAGATATTTTTGAATTTAAAAAACTTTTTGTATATTTCATAACGACCTAATTCAATAATTATTGATTATGTGTGCATGTGTTTTGAGCTTTAATTAATTGCATGTGTTTTATTGTTGTGTAGTTCTTTTTGAAGTTATGTGTGAAATGCATGAGAATAGTTGAAATTCTTTTCAAATGCTAGTCTACTTGTTGCTTCACGCTGCAGCAAATGCTTGCTTAATTGTTTTTCAGCGCTTATAAATATTTAAAATAAGAAAATTACTTCTTTAAGTTGTTATTTATAGATAAAAATGTCGGTTACACAGTCACAACCTAAAATAATTGTATTATACAAAAATACTAATTGTCAAACCGATTAAAACCGATCAGAAGCCGTATATTCTTGTTATTGTAAGTGCTCATGTCAAAACAAGTGTATAGATGCCTAATTTTCGTAGCATAAAAGCTGCCGTTATTATCGGACAATATACTATAGGTTTACTTTATGTTGTTGTTGTCGCAAATAATTTTTGAGACGGATGACAGTTCTTAGTCGGTGCAAAATATGCGTTCGCTTACGATGATCTGACTGTCGTAAAAGCGGCAGACAATCGTAATATTTTTTTTTGTTATAGTGGTAGAAAAAATTTCTCAAGAAATGCATGCTTACGAATAGATAGACCTCTCTGTATAAAAATACGGGTCCGTTCTGGTTACGTAGAGCTACGACAGTTGTTTGAACGTTCTTGGCGAACGGAAACGAACTTTATTAAATATTATATATAAGATTGTACAGTGTCGGAAAAAACTAAAGCACGAAATTTACCATATTACCATTTAGCTGCATATAATTTATTTACTGTTATAAAATTATTATTTTTCTATTTTTTTTTACAAAAATATAAATTTGAATTGATGTATTAAAAAAAACGTAACATATTAATTAATTTTACACTTAAATTTGACTTAAATATTAACAATATAATTAAAATATGTACGACAAAACTGAAGCACATTACATATAGTTAAAAAATAAAAGTATTTGTTGTTAATATTTGGTGGCAAATCCATTGTTTCTTATGGCTGCTTCACATCTTCGTGGCATAGATTCAATTAAATTGTTTAAAACGACTTGAGAAATATTTTCCATGCTCGTTCGACTTAGGTAAAGGGAGAGTCCTTATTTTTCCAGGTGATTGCGCGGGCCACTTTAAAACATCTATTTTATTGGATAGAAACCAATCCTTTACACATTTGTCCGTGTGCTTCGGATCATTATCGTGTTGGTAGTTCCATTTTAACGACATTTCCTTTTCAGCATGAGAAAGCATAACATTTGGAAAGATGTTTTGTACATAAAACGATGCATTATGTGATTAATTTGATGGATCGGACCTACTCCATGACCTGAGAAACATCCCCAGACATTTACGTTACCTGCTCCATGCTATACAGTGCCTTGTAAATAACGCGGATTCAAACGTTGACCTTTTGCTCTTCGTATCAGCTTTAATCCATCAGTTCCTTTAATATTGTACTTGGACTTATCAGAAAAAAGTACACTCATCAACTTTGTAATACTCCAGTTAGCGTGAGCTTTTGCAAATTCCAGCCGCGTTTTTCGATTTTTGTGCGAAATGTATGGCTTTTTGGCACTTCTGCATGTTATGAAGTTATTTTCTACAGATCGTCGCTGGATGGACCTGCACGAAATATTAAAGCCCAATTCGCTCTGGATTGATCTAGCTGATATAAAGGGATTTCTTTTTATGGAGCGCACTATCCATATCCTCACGGCTAGTAGTTTTACGTGGTGCCACCTCCATGAATTATGGTTAGGGAGCCCGAAGAACGAAAATGACTAATCTAATTGTATTAAAATTACTTCAACATGCTCTTCGAATAACGGTTTCTAACTACAGTTGAAATTTTAACGGAACTATGTTGAAATCAAGGTCAATAAATAAGTAAATATAGTTTGGTGCTTTAATTTTGTCGTAATATTTATATTTATATTATGCCAAAATTTTGTATGTCAAAATCTTATTTGTAATAAAAAGAGGTTCAGCTTGATAAATTTTTGTTTTAAACGAATAATCTTCTTATATTCATAAAAAAATTAAAAATATGGCAATACTTGTTTTTAACTAAATGTGTACAAGGTGAACTTCGTGCTTTAGTTTTGTCCGACAGTGTATATCTTGAATATCAAAAAAAATATTAAAATCTTAAACGAGAGCAGTGAAGCCCTTTGCCATATTAATAATAATTAAAGCATTTAATTACACCTATTCTATAAACTATTGTAATTTTGTAGTATATAGGTATATACCTAGTCAAACTAGTAGAATCAGTTTTTCAGATATCGATCCGAAATTTGCACGGTCCCTTTTCTTAAGAAGAAGCTCATTTCTTGGAACAGCCGATATCGGACAACTATAGCATATAGCTGCCACATAAACTGAACGATCAAAATCAAGTCTTTGTATGCAAAACTCTTTTTATTTCACAAGGTTTCTGTACGAAATTTGGAACAGATTATTATTCAAGGCATCGCAACAATCTTGAAAACATTGTTTAGGTCGGACAACTATAGCATATAGCTGCCATATAATCTAAACGATCGGAATTAAGTCCTTGTATGCAAAACTTTATAATTTGACAAGGGTTCTTCCAAAGCATCGCTGCAATTGTTCCGGTCGGACAACTATAGCATATAGCTGCTATGAAAACTGACCGACCAAAATTAAGATAAAAATATTTTTTTATACCCTTCCATAATATAAAAAATGCACCTTTGAAAAGTATTATGGCTTCGGTGCAGCCGAAATTAAATAAATTTTGAGTTAAACATATGTTGGCATGCCTGTAATACGGTGGTAAAAATATCAACCCTTTGTAGTCTTTATTCCGTTAGTCTGCAGACTTAGCTTTCGAGTTTTTCGTCTCGTTCGCTTATAAATGATTGCTTTCTTTCTTCAATTTGTATATTTGAGTTAATCATTTCGGTAGGATGACGTCTGTTAGTGCAATTACTGCTGATTTAGCCTTGAATGTCGCTCGTTTTGCTTATTCTCTTAGCGCAAATTTAGTTTGCCGCCAGTTAAATCTCACGACACAGTAGCTTTTTTGCACCAACCACGCATTTCAATAGAGAAAATGTAATTTGTTGTGTTTCTTTTTCGACTTCCTAATCAACAGGTCGATTCTCGTGGCTCTTCGTCTGGTACACCATCACTCTCATCTAACTCTTTCATCTCAGCCATGTCCTCGCAGGAAGATGTCGCGCTGGTCAATTTACATCAACAAGTGAATCGTCCCATCATCGATTCACCGCTACTGATGGCCAGCTATTTGAATCATTTGTCACAAGTGAAATGCTTCAACTGGACTGCGTGCTCATTTCCATCGGGTCCGGATGTATTCTCTACGCCTATGTTCCACGAAAACGAAGATGGCGGTCTCACTTATATAGGCAGCAAAATGTTGCCACACTTCGATTTGTATGCTTGTTGGCGTGAGATCAAAGTGGTGCCCCGTTATGAAAATGCCACCGGCAGCAATAGCTCGGCCACATTCATGGGCGGTCCGAAGTCGCATCCGTGGGATCCCAGCGTGCTGTTGAAAGAGGAGGAGAGCGACAAGACCACAAATGGTTTCGATGATGGCGAATTTATGAGTTTACAAGCGGAGGGTGCCGCCTGCACTTCGGTGGTGGCACGTCTCAAGGGCCAGGTTAATGTCTTTCTAACACCCCTAATGCTCGAAGGTTTGCAGCGGTGAGTCTGATTAAACGTTGCAGTGTTGCACTTAGTGATAAATATATAATTTTATTGAAATCATAAAATATAAAGTTATAAGTTAGAGAGTAATATATTGACGCATTCGTGGTATAGTCGAACAGTTCATGCTCTACATTTAATTGCGTTTCACGCGTATGTGCTCCTTCTTGTCATCGCTCTCCTCATTATTATTTTGCTCTTGGTCGCGTGGAAAGGAGTTCTCAAGTTGCCGTATATACTCAGCGTCCACGGCGGCCTACCAGAGAGATCGAGAATTTGTGACACTTTCAGAAAACTATCGCGAAACTTTCTTAAATTACTTGCCTGCTTTATTTCGTGCCCGTTGTCGCGTTTCGTTCGTTGATTCTCCGTTTGTTCCATGAAGGGCATTAGGTTCTTGCGCGGTATTTTGAAATGCATAGAATTGCGCGCATCTCTTGGCGGCTCATCTATGTCATCATAGTAATTTATATTCGCATCGTCATCCATAGGGTTTCCGTCAAAGGTGTGGTCGCGCGGTGGACCCAAAGCATAGTTGTGACTTTAAATTCAAACAAATATATGTTTTTCTCGGCTTTTTTTTATATCTCCGTTAAACTTCACCTGTCGTAATCGACGTAGTCGTAATCCGGCGCATTCGGCCTGTCAATAAGTTTGTTTAGCACATTCAAATCCGATAAGGAGAGATCGTCCAGCGCCATATCGATTTCAGCATCGGTTAAACCTTTTGTGGGATCGCTGACTTCCACCTTGGGCTCCAGATCTCTTCGCTGCAAATACGCGTTTATTAGTTATTATTACTTGTAGTTATAGTTTCTATTTTTATTCACGACGCATACATGTATATTGTACTGTGACCTTCCTCCATGCAAGCACATCAAAAATATAAATATGCAATAAATTATTGTTGTTTGAAAGTAATACGACATTTCTTGCAAATTGTTTTGAAAACATCTTGACGTTACTTATGATTTGAAAAACTTTTGTTAAAAGATTTTCAATATGAAACAGGTGCAAGTAAGTCGTTTTAGTGTTGGAAAGTAATTTACAGTTTACTTGAACTTAGGACGTAATTCGTAGTAACCTAAAAGGTTGAGTTGGTCTGAAGACTTATATTGAAAAATAAGAAACTTTTATTCTTCTTTTAATATTTCTATAAGCTGTAGCATTATGAGATTATCTTTGCCGTCTTCTATTCGTCATTTCTTTGCTGACTACGTTTGAGCTTTGCTCTTTTGTCTTTTTGTTTACGCATGAAAGTAATAATAAGATTATTTAGTTAGTTTAAATACAGGAGCTTATGGGGATACCTCATTGAAGTGGTTTATTTATTTATATCAGTTCACCGATCGTTTCGCCATTCTTCAAATAGTAAGCTATTTCATCCTTAAGATATGTAGGTTCCACAATTACAATTTCGAACTCTATAGCATCACAGCCCTGAGGCAAAAGTTACTGTAGATTAAATATATACATACATTTTTAATTATAATTTATCAGATTTGTTAAAAATAGAACTCGTTCCCACTGCCTGTTGGAAAATTCTTGAGTCGGCATAGTTTTAATGCCATCCGCGAAGCTTCCTATGTAAATGGTTTTCTTTCATTGCTAATATGAAGATTAGATTCAGAGCTTTTGAAGCTTAACAAAGGGACTTCTTAGAAGATTACTTTTTAAGTGTAAGAAATGAGCTTAGGGAAACTTAGAAACTGCCTTAAAAACTGAGACTTTGAGAAGTGTTAAATCGGAGCTGTGCCTAGCTTTATAATTTCAATCCTCAAAAACATATTTTTTTGACCTGTGTGCTTGGTGGAGGTGAGTCACCATATGATACATATTTGGAAGATGCAGTGGTCGATTGAACATACATACTTATGTAACTGTATATACTATGCTATAAATATTTATTTATATATTTCTACTATTTTAAACAATAAAACATAGCATGGTCGAAGCCAGTATACCTACGATTTCTTCGCTGCATTTGCTCTCCGTCGTCAATCATATACACGCCTCATGTATTGCAAAAGTGCAGAATGATAATATACTCAAGCGGGATCAAAGTTTGAGTTATTGGTCACAGGTGTGCATTGAATCAACCAACATGCACATTTCCGGAAGCTATTAATTATAAATTTCATATTTTCACAGGTGCATTCGAATTCAAAACGTTCAACCACGGAGCGTAATTTACAAGGTCCTGGCGACTCATTCCTCAGTGATGTCTACGAAGAGAGCATATCGACAAAGACTCAAGGCCTAATTGTACTACCCAAGGTTAGCATCACAATGCTACAATCTTCCATAATTGAAGAAGTCATTTCGATTGCAGCGTTAGATAATGTACAGGTGAACTATTAAAGTCGCATTTTGTTTTTGTAATTGTCAGAATAATTAAATTTTTTGTGCTTTGTAGGATCTCAGTTGCGTTTCATTGCTTACCTTCTATATTGAAGGTGTATCGACCAAGTTCCATTTGGGTAAAACGACACGCGCCTCCATGCACAACGTTTATATACAACAAACAGTGCAATCGGGCAATAGCCAAAAGAAAGGAGGCATCATGAAGGGCACACGCGCACTCTTAGCGCATTTGTCTTCACAAACGCGCCCAGACAATATACAGGGCGAGCCCATACTTATTGAAACATCCGAAAAACAACTGGAGGAATTGGTAATAACGCTCGATGTGGGTCGGGCGCACGTGCAGTTGCGAAGACTCAAAACCGAATCGAGTTGTGGTCAAGAATCGCCTATAATTGTCACCGCCATACCAGAACACAAAAGCAAAGTGCTATTTGAATTGCTTAAGATGCCCGAAAGTACGGCTGGCATTGAAGGTATTGGCTACATAATGTTTGAATGCGGCCTAGAGGGTGTCGGTGTTAAGATTGTGAAGCGTTCACATTTCGAGAAGTCTGAGAATACTAAAGAAGATCTGGCTGAGATCGCCGAAAGCGCCACCGAGGCAGCACGTGGTGTAAACTTAAGTGATTTGGTGGGCAGTGTGAATGCAGACGTCGGCGCGACCTCGAAAGCCGAGGCAGCTTGGCGCTTAATTACTAAAAAACCACCAACACCTAAAACGCCGAAGGAAAAATTCCAAACAGCTTTGGAAAGTATAATTGTGCATGAACGCACGGAGAGTATAAGCGAGGGACGTAAAACCAACACGAAGCCGCAAGCCGACGAAGATGGTGAGAAGGGTAAAAACGGTGGTAAGGACACCTTCGAAAAGAAGACGCCAAATGTGAAGGAAACGGAAAAAAATTCTTCGTGTGTAATTGAATTGAAATCGGTTTGGTTCAATTTCGCAGCGCCGCCTTGCGTACCGATTACAAGAAAAATTGATTTAACCCGGTAAGCATATGACTGCGGAGCTATCGTGTAAGATTTCCTTTAACTTAACTTTTCAGACTCGATTGGAATCTCTTGAGTACCGCATCCCCTGCTATTACTGCATGGATGAATCCCAGTAACCGTTTGGCCATAAAGATTGTGTCGCTTATGCGCGCTTTGCACACGCGGCAGACAGCCATAGCAGCATGTTTAATGGCGGATGCACTAGATAATGAAAAAATTAAGCGCAGTCCGAAAATTAAAAAGGTTTGCGAACTCATGCACAGTTTGAGGCTATGTAGTATACTAATATATATTTCTATAATTAATAGAGTCGCTACGCCAACAACTACACGTTGTTATCGAAAACTTTACAGGAGGATCCCAGTTGCCAGCTTTGTTACATAATGCAAAAACTGGTGTTGGATGAGGGTGTGCAAAGGGTGGAACAAATATTCAAGCAAAGCGATGTGCCACATTTAAACACTTTGCGACAGGTCTTTATAAGCTAAACAATATTATTATTAGTGTTTATATCCTGATCCTCTTTTTTTCTGTCTTTTAGGGTGTAATTGTGCTAAGCCGTCAGTGGAAGAATACGCTCTATAATCCCATACTTTTTGAGCATCAATACAAGAATAAATTGGCACGCCCCATAAATGTGACGTTCTCGTTTCCGCAACAGGAGGAGGAATGCGATGATGCGGAATGTGAAGGTGAAGCTGATATGGGTGTCTATGCGGGAGTCGTCGATAATCCCGAAGAGAGTGAGAATGCTTTATTACTTGGGCAAACACAGCATCATCGAAATCATATTGGTATTTTTGATTAACCACCTCTCAAACGTACACAGCGTTTTCCCCTCATGCTATATAATGACTTTCGAGGAGATCACGTATACACTTTCTTCCCAAACTACATACATATATATTTTGCTGTTTATTGCTTTGACTTGACCTGAAGCTTTTCAGACCTTTTACTTACCACTTGATTGGCTGTAAGAATATTTGAGGCTCAATCGCCAAGTACTCTAAAGCACACAAATCCTATGAAGAGTATGCGTAACTCTTTGCTGTGCACATTTAGTGCTTCCACGCGTGTCAATAATTCAACTTTTGATTAAGGATTGATTGAGCGCATTTCAGTTTATGGTTGCAACCTGCTGCTCTCTCCCACTCTCGCTCTCTATTTCATATTGTGTAACTACTTATATGCATGTTTTTTCATTATTTGTTCTATGTTTACTATATATGGTATATTGCTTTGGTATTGCGCCTTATTTGTGTTTTACTGCTTTTTACAATTATATTTTTTTCTCAAAAACTATGTCTAGCACCTTTTAAGTTTCGTAATTTTTTTTTTTTGTCTCTTTATGTTTTTTGTGTTTCGTCGCACTTTATACCATGGCTGAAATGTGCTAATCACACTCTGTACATACACTCAACTTTTCAATTTAATTTTCTATATTTTCAAATATTTTTCAAGCTATCAGAAACCGTATAGTTTTGTAATATATACATGATTGTCTGCAGCGTTTACACACTTATTCTTGATTTCTTTATGTTTTGCGCTTTGTTTTGTGACACTTTTGCATACGCTACTACTGCGATTGCATTTCAAACAGGTGGCACTCATGTCTATAGCACAAGCTATACCAGCTATACTCAACTTGTTATAATGTAACTGTATATATATTTTCTAATTTGAACATTTATCAACAAACATATATAGATAATTCACAATTTGGCATGGGCTTTGCCAATGAGGCGTCGCTGCATGGCGCCGCGCAAAGATCAAACTCAGCTTCACCGAACATACATTCGACACGAAAAGGGTGAGTTCTAATTTCGGTGCATTACTTAAATTTCAAAACATATTAACGAATTATATATGTTTTGTTGATTGTTTATTCGAAAATCATTTTTATTCTCATTTTGTACAATGCTTACACTACGATCTTTGTTGCTATTCCAGCAAAGTACATAGTAAGTGTTCGAATATTTCACATGGAAATTCATCTCGTTCCAGCATACAAATGCTGCCGATTATATCTGGACTAGTGGAAAAACAGGTGCCGGAATTCGGTATGTATTTCAATATTCAAAATTATTTTGTGCATTTAATTCGAATGTCGGGTGTATTGCAGAGTATGGTGCATTGCAGGAGGGTTCATTGAGTTCTAGCAATTCGGTAAATAAATTTTGGCTCGGTCCGGAAAATCAAAAGGAGGACTTGTATTTCTGGATGGCAAAACAGCAGGAGAATAAAAAGAAAGAAAATTCTGTTGAGCCGGAAATAATACGGCCGGCACCGGTGAAATTACCAGGAGCTGGTCAAACGCGCGGTGGTATTTTGCAGGACTCAATAAAACTGCTCGATGCGCATTTGATTTTCGAACCATTGCTCACATGCTTGGGTGTAATGCCGCAGCAGATGGTGAACAAATTCGCAAATGCGGGTAATAATAAAATATCATTAATCATAACTATATCAGTGACTCCAAAAATATATTAAATCTTTGCAGACATTTCATCCTTGGAGAATTTCGGCACCAATCTCTCGCTCATCGGCACCTTTGACTCCATACGCGTTGATATTGTGGTAAGCGAGGCGGGTGACAAGAAGAATAAATGCGCCAAAATAAATAAGAAGGCAAATGGCGCCGGACGGCAGTCAATCATGATGGATACACCTTTGTTTTTGTGTGAACGCGTGGGTGTTGAGTTAGAGGTGTTGAAGAAATCCGATGGTATGGTCGATCAAGCGCGTCAAAATGTTATTTATATGTCGCGTCGACAATTGAAGAAGCATACCAGCACCGTTATCAACTTGAGCCTCAATATACGTTACATATCACAGCAGGTGAGTGCACAGAAATCTAGTGATCGCACCATAGTTTGTAAAAATATATTTTTTAATAAGAACGATATACAGTTAGTTGTGAAAAGCGTTAACCGTTTATGAAGAAAGGTCTTTAAAATATTGAAAACATTAATTTAAACAAGAAAAAACGCTAACTTCGGTTACACTGAAGCTATAATAACATACCCTTCACAAATACAAAAGGTTCCTTACAAGAACTTGATACCGAACGTTCAGTTTGTATGTCAGCTATATGATATAGTGATCTGATCTGAAAAATTTCTTTGGAGATTACATTGTTGCCTTAGGAAATAACTCATAGCAAATTTCGTGAAGATATTACGTGCAAACACGTAATAAAATTTCTATATTCGGGTGTAACCGAAAATTTTATAATCTCGCAACTTGCCAGGATCAAAGCCTAGTAAATTACTTCAGGTGTTGGCAAAATTTTATATTAAAGGCAGTATTGATCCATTGATTCAACCAATTTTTGACACAAAGACATACTATTATCGAGAGTTTCATTTATTTGTTTTATTATATGAATTTCAATTATATATCTTACACATTGACCGATATTTTCGGTAAAAAGTCAACGAGGGCACTGGGGTCCACATATTCATTACCTAGAGGCTTGAACAGTTTCGGTTCGATTTACACAATTTTTGGTGACAAGGTGGCATACTTCAAACGCATTATTCACGCAAAGTTTTACCCCGATACAATCATTGTTGCTTGATTTGCATACTGGAAAGTGAAAAAATCAGATGAAATTTAAAATGGTGTTTTATTCGAAATAGGCGTGGTTGTAACCGATTTCACCCATTTTCGTACTATAACACAGAAATATGAAAAGAATGTTATGCACCGAACTTTGTTGAAATCGGTTAAGCAGATCCCAAGATATAGGTTATCACCTAAATATGGGCGATGCCACCCCCATTGTTTAATTTTGAACGCGAATACTTTAAAGTCATTTCATATCATCCCAGAGATAAAATTTAATGTCTCTGGCGTATTTAGTGCTTGATTTTATGCGCTTTTAGTAGTTTTTAACAGAACCGTTATATGGGGAGTGGGCGGAGTTGTCAACCGACTTCACCCACTTTCACACTGTCGATAGAGGTGCCAAAAGCATTTTTTCTCAGTGAATTTTGTTATTATAGCTTCAGCGGTTTAGGAGATATGCATATTAAACCTACTAGGGGGCGAGAACACGTCCACTTTTTAAAAAAATTTAAACTGCAGATGCCCCTCCCTAATGTGATCCTGTATACCAAATAAGAGCTTAGTTATGACAATTTATTTGTTTTTAATTAATGGCGTTTTGTGGGCGTGGCAGTGGTGCGATTACGCCCATCTGCAATACCAACTGTCTTACGGCACCAAGAAACATGCGCCTCCAAGTTTCGTAAAGATATCTCAAGTTTTACTCAAGTTACAGCTTGTACAGACGGACGGACAGACAGTCACCCGGATTTCAACTCGTCTCTTCATCCTGATCATTTATATAAATGCATATATGTAACCCTGTTAGATACATATATACTATATACTCGATTTATTTTAGCTGATACAAACAACCGTTAGGTGAACAAAACTATTATACTCTGTAGCAACAGGTTGCGAGAGTATAAAAAAAGGATCTTTATGCAAGCACTTTTAATATGACAGCTATAAGCTATAGCGACCCGATCTAAACAATTTCTTTGGTGATTACATTTTTTCCTAAAATAATGATTTCGTGAAGATATTTCGTCAAATAAAAAAGTTTCACATACAAGCATTTGATTCCGATTGTTCAGTTTGTATGGCAGCTATATGGCATTCTGACATATGAGCAGGTTCTTAGTGAGAAAAGGACAGGTCCAAAATTTCATATCAATAGTTTAAAAATCGAGGGACTAGTTCGTATATATACAGACAGACACACAGACAGACGGACAAATCAACTCAACTCAGCTCATCATGCTGATCATTTATGTTTATATTTTATGGGGTCTCCGACGACGAGAGGGTATAAAAACTTTAAATACAATATACTATATACTAACACACAAATAATACGATAAAAAATTTTTAAAATATAACGTATTTTTAAAATTTTTACTGTGGCTCATTATAAGTCGAATTATATATATTTGGATAATCGTTGACTGCTTAGTTAATAATATAAAATAACGTGTAATAAGTATTTGGTAAACTAAACTTTATTTATTAAAACTAGATATCCTCAGTAAAAGGACAATCTGGTTGGGATCCATGATGTTATTTAAATGACCATAAATGTCAATATAAATATTTTTATCAAAATCAAGTTCTTGTGTGGAAAATATTTTCATTTGAATAGATATCTTTTAATTTGGAATAGATTATTGTCCAAGAATATGCTACAACCTCCGAAGAAAATGTTCATATCTGCAATACAAACTGACCGATAAAATTCAAGACAAAAATCTTTGTATACTCTTTTATGTTATCAAAAATATACTTGTGAAGGGCTTCGGTGCAGCTGAAGTTATCGTTTTTTGTTAAACTATTCTTGGCGAAGTCTTAAGTGTTTGTAGTAATATAGATAATTTTAAACTTATGTACATATATGTATATACATACATAGACATACATTTGTTACATCAGTATATATATGGATAATATATGGAGTGTTGAAAAATTTGATTTTGATATTCTACTTTATTTTGTTTGCATATCAGGTCAATATGCCACTACTACGTCTGCTACATCAAATTACAAACATGTACCAAAACGTAAAAGAAGCGCAAAATGAGTTTCATCAGCAGCCGGATTTGATTAGAAAATCGCATGCGAAAGATGAGTGTAGTTTAGGTAAAATATTTCCGCTTTTTAATTAAGAACAAAAATAGTAACAGTATTTATTTCAGCCTCCGAGCCCAATGATATTATAGGTTTTGGTTCAGTATCGGATCGCTTTGCGCATACTGAAAACTCTTCCGATGAGCGTTATGACAAATTCAATGAAATGATATCTATGACACATCCCATCGGTGGCAGGTGAGCACAATCACATTGCTTGTTTTTTACAATAAGCATATTTTTACGCAATAACTGGTTTTGTATACATACAGGGTGCGCCCAAGTGGCATTGGTCCCTTAATACAACTGACACCCTCACCAAATGCGCGAAATCGGCCATCAAGTTTTGCGCAAAAATTACGCTCAACTGGGAAGTCGGTTAAAGGAAAGCTAGGTATTAGAAAATATAATATTTTTTTATATTATATATACAACTGAAATCTTAATACTTTCTCCTGCTAGGCTACACAAATTTAAATGAGACCAGTTCCTCACCCTTACGTGACAGTCCCACCACCTCTGTGAGCGAGCAGCACATGTTCAAATTGTCACTGGAGTCCAAAGCCTCGCTTAATGGCGTTTGCGCCACCAGCGTTAGTGGTGATTACAATACAATTACCAAAAACGGCTTTGATGGCTTACAACCACTGCTACAAACTCCCAATTGCTGGAAAACTATTTACAACTTGCTGGAATTATATGGTACAATGCCCGAAACGAAGACCGTGCAGCGCAGCTCCATGTCCACTGAGGTTAATGATGCCGCCAAGTATGGTGTAAAGAAAACGCCAGTCGGTGGATTTATGCGACAGGATACACGAAACGATGATGATGACGGCACGAGCGCACCAACGCCATTGCCTCAGCATCGCGAACTTGTTGGTTAGTTGCTTATTCCTAACATACTTTGGAATTATAGAAAGATTATAAACATTCTCTAAACT